TTAAAGACAGTTGGGAGGATACTATAAAATATCATTCTTGGTCCTTTTGATGCTGCCTTTTTCTTTTCTAATTTAAATTCTTTGAAAAACTCAGTATTGTGTAATTGCTCTGTGAATTAAACATAGCAATCTTAATTTGCCTGTTATATACACCCAGCTCTCATGATTGCTCCTCTTCTGAGCTTGAGTTTTTACCTTTTCTTTAAAAAAAAAAGGCGAGATCTTTTTTCACCTATCTAGACTGAAATTTGGGAAATAGGAGACAAAAATAATGAAATTCAAAGTCCTGAATAAAGGGCTTTGTAACCTTTTGTAGCTAAGCAAATGTAAAATAATCATCTTTTCCTTAAAAAAAAGTTTTGGAAAAAATATATACTGAATTTACAATCAGTAGACTTGGTTCAAAACTGGCTCTCCTACATACTGTCTGTATAATTCTGAGCAAGTCAGTTTACTGCCATTACAAGCCTGTTTCCTTATCTGCAAATGAGGGTTAAAAATTGATAATGTCCAAGATCCTTTCCAGTTCTAAATTCTGTCTTCCTGTGAAACACTTCAATATAGTCAGACCTTAACTTATAATTGGATCATATTCCTGAAGTTTATAAGTCAATATTTTGGAACTCAGAATACTTTGGAATCTGAAACACACTATAAAAACCTTCAACTCTGGAATTTTTCCCATTTCTACCACTTTGGCCACCTGTTAGTCACCAAATCTATTCCCTCTCTAAAAAGTTTGTATTAATTTATTTAAACCTAAATAACATATGGGTGAAATAAGCTCCCTTCCTATGGTCTGAGATTATTTTTGTCTAGACTTCAGGTACCACATAAACATAGAGATAATAGTCTGTAATTTGAATTTAGACTACAGGAAGGTGTGTTCCTCACCCACACCCAAGGTTCATCTTTGTTCTGGACAAGTCAGCTCAAAATGTGGATTATAAAATAAGGTTTGTGAAATGTATTTGTCTTCCACTTCATTCTAACCTGTCTAAATTACCTAAGAAGCCAAAATGACTGATGTCCTAGGTCATATGACATGAGAACTTAGTATTAGATGATGCAATAAAGTTCAAGTTCTATGAGGAAAAGGCCCTAAGAAATAAGTATTGAGCTCTTTTTTCACATTTCAAGATGAAAGGCAAATGGCATAGTTTGATGTGTTTTCATATGAATAATGTTTTTGGGGTTTGGGGGAGCTTTTTTTTTTAGGCAGTTGGGGTTAAGTGACTTGCCATGGGTCACACAGCTAGTAAATGTCAAGTGTGTGGTCTGAGGCCAGATTTGAACTCAGGTCCCCCTGACTTCAGGGCTGGTGCTCTATCCACTGTGCCATCTAGCTGCCTCTTCATATGAATAATGTGGATTTGTGTAGGGAAATAAATCATTCTCTAAGCTGTCATACACCCCAAATTCTGCCAGTCAAATAAGGCAATTGAGCTATGTATGAGAGCAAAATATCTGAATTCTTCAGAAAATCCATTACATCATCAACATGAGTACTACCTCTATGAACATAGACTGCATTCTCTCTGTGAATTAGACAGTTCCCAAAAAGAGTATTGTCCCTTTTCCAGTCAGTTATGTTAAAAACCTTGGTGCCATCCTTGGCCCCTTATCATCTCACATATCCAGTCAGTTGCCAAATTTTGTAATTTCTTTCTCTGTCATCTCTCATGTATGTCCCCTTCTCTTCATTCAGGCAGCCCCTACCTAGTTCAGGCCCTCATCACCTTTCTCCTGGACTCTTACAATAGCGTTCTAATTGGACACGCTCAATTTTTTCCCCACTTCAGTACATACTCTATATGCTTGCCAAAGTGATTTTCTAAAAAAAAACAAACAAAAATATAGCTGACCATGTTACTGTCCCATACGTCCCACTCAATAAACTGCAGTGCTTCTTTGTTACATCTAGGAGCGGATAGGAGCACTTCTATTTGGTATTTGAAGTTCTTCGTGACCTGTCCCTTCCTAACCTTTCTATTCTTTGTGCCCATCCGTAATGGCGTACTTGCTGTTCCTCACACACAATGCTCCATTTTCCATCCCCACCCCTTTGTTCCCATTCCTGGAAAGTTCTGCCTTCTCCCTTCTGACTTTTAGAGTTCCTGGCTTCATTTAATACTCAGCTCATGTTCTTTCTCCTCCGAGAGTTCCTTCCTAATCCCCTAGCTGCTTGTGCCTTCCCCTCTAAAACCATTTTCCATTTACTCTGGATTTGTCGTATATGTAATAATTTCTATATGTTATGATCTCCCTTATTAGAATGTAAGCTCCCCGAGGACAAGGACTTTTTGCCTTTCTTTGTATCTCCAATACGGTTCCTGGCACACAATAAGTGCTAATAAATTGTCAACTTGATTGATTGATAAATTAGTGTGGCCCAATAAATTGTCAACTATTGTGGTCACCCTTCTGTGGATGAGCCTTTCCGAACTTAGCTAAATTGATCTTGAGTCAATGGGTTTTTATTGAAAACATTTCCAGATTGCTAAGACTTATTTGCTAAAGCTTATTCTCTGCTAACATAGATTTTGAGAATCCAAGCTCACCTCTACACTGTGATAAAGCATTGAAACAGGAATTTAGTGGAGGAGTATCAAGAAACTTCACCAAATAATCCATGAACATGGAATTCTCTTGTGCAATAATCCACCCTGGGACCTCCCATCCACTCAGAGATATGTGTGGATGTGCTACAAGAGGAAAATACCCCCCGGATATTCACCATCACTACCTTGGCAGACTTATTCTCTAGAAATCTGATACCTTCTCCCCTGCTCTGTAGGCCTCCAACTCTATGACATTCATGTAATCCTCATGGTGAAGCCCAAATGCCATCCTGAAATATTGCCTGACATTCTTTTCTATTCTCATCTCATGTACTCTATTATCAGGCTTCTTCCTCTAAAGAAGGAGTTCTTATCCATTTTTTTGAGTCAGCAGCATGGTAAAGCCCATAGACTCCTTCTCAGAATAATGTTTTTAAATGCATAAAATAAAATGCATAGGGTTATGAACTAGTTATACTGAAATAAAATTATAAAAAAGTTTCTTTTAAGATCACAAACCCCAGATTAAGAACCCCTACTGGAGGAGATACATCCTGAGACGTTCTTTCCCATTTCATATTTCACTAAGACACGCATCTTTACCATAGTGCCTGTTCTGTTCCCTTTCAGTACACTTTTCATTAGGTGCTATGAAGTTTAAATTTTTCTCCACCAAAATAAATAAATAGTTGAATTGAATGTTATCTTTATTCTTTTGCTTGCTCTGGCCCTAAGGGCAGATTAAAAGTAGATTAGGGATGTAGTTTATCAACATCAGTTAGGGAAAGATGGAGCTATTTAACATTAAACTACTTCAGTAAATTATGGGATTTCAGATTTTGTGGGAGATTTATCCACATTTTTGGTTATTTTCAAAGCTGCATTTGTTTTTAAGTAAAAGAGGTCAGGATTAGATAGACATCTATAATAGTAGGGTTTTGTTTTGACTTTCTGAATAATAAAAGTTGTAACTGAGCAACATTAGCTACAGGCACTCCAACCCACAAATCCATGGAGATGTTGTGAAAAGCATTTCAAGAGGAATCTGGCCCTCTGGCCCTCTTTGGTAAAGGATAATTTGCCATGATGATAGTTGAATAAAGAAAGAACTCAGAATGACTGACTATGACAAGACTTTTGAAGATAAAATCCTGAAGTGGTTGAATTCTCTTAACAGAACGTGCATTCTAAATGTTTCCATGCCTATCTAACATGGTATTGTATATTCATCAACCAAAATACAGCATGACATAATGGACAGAAGGTTGGCCTTAGATTTAGGAAGACCTGCTCCAATAATGCCCCTGATACATATTAGCTCTGTGACCATGGGCAGGTCACAACTTCTCTAGGCAACTATCTAAAACTAGAAGTTATAGATCCATTGTCAGTTTACATTGGTAGAGGGGATTTCCACACAAGAACTCGCACAACTATACTAATGAATATACCATTCCAGACCAAGAAATTCTGTAACCAACATATTAATGTGGAGAAGACACACAAAAGTTATGCATAGATGTGCACTATACTGTGGATTTTGTCATAATTGGAATTAAAGTAAACTGAGGCACAAAGCTCCAAGCATGATCAATTTATTAGCAAAGCACAAATTTGCCAAAAAACAGGGTCTCAGCCTCCTCAGCTAGGTAAGACCCAAATGAGGGCTGATAGATCATTTTTATAAATAAAAAGAGGAACATCCAAAAAAATGTGGAATGATAGGGAAAACAGTATGATTGTCTGAAGCATTATAGGCATAGGAAACAATATGATTGGCTGAAAATGGGAAATGCAGGGCTAGCCACAATCTCTTGCTAGTAAATTCTGATTGATTCCGTCACCCTGTTTGGCTAGTCAGTATCACAGCAATAACAGGCCAGACTTTCTTGAAGGACAGACAGTATTGCAGAGATAATAAACCAGACTCCCTGGCATCCATCTGCATCCTTCAAGGATAACAGATTTCCTTGACACAAGAAAAGAACAGTAATTAGCAGGAAAACTGAACTTCTAAACTTAACTCAGAGTCAGTGAATGATTTACAGGAAAGTTGAACTTCCAAACTTAACTTAGAGACAGATGGAACGTGACATAGATAGTTACACAAAATGTGAGAAGTGATATAAAATGAAATCAATTACAGAACAGAAGCAATTTGATTTTCTCAATTTTCAATTTGGAGTCAAGTGACCTGGGCAAAATCCAGACTCTGCTACCTACTATATGTGTGATTCTAAGTCACTTAACTTCTCAGAAGCATAGTTTCCTCATCTGTAAAAGAAGGGGGGAGGGGCAGAGGGAGTATGAAATGGGGGGGGGTAGAAAGGATTAGGTGATTTCTGCGACACCTTCTAGCTCTAAATCTGTGAATATCCTAATTTGGTATCAACTATGGAGTACTATCCTCTCTCAAATCCAATGTGTTTTCATTTGCAGTGAAGGAAATTTGGCTACAAAGCAGGTTGTATTTTTTCAAAGGCCTGTTATGTGGAACTCAGCTGTTAAAACACCAGAAGTAAGTTCAAAAATTTTTGTTTGCCTGTGTGTGTATTATATGTGTGCGTGTGTGTGTGTGAGACTGTGTGTGTATTCATATATTTGTACATAGTACATAACAGCAATATAAATTCTATTAATATTTATTCCCTTATCCTTGTTTCCTTATATCAGATACAAATAAGGAAGTTGGGCTTCACAAGGGGTTATTCTCCAAACACGAGAGATCAGATAATATTTGTAAAGTGCTCACACAGTGCCTGACACATAGCAGGCATTTAATAAAATTTTGTTCCCTTTCTTCCCCAAACGTGTTAATGATGAGATGCAGTGTGGAATGCTGGATATAGAGCTGGTCTCAGAATCAGGGATACCAGAACTCAAGAACTCTGATATTTATTACCTGTGTGAGTCTGGGCAAATCACTTAATTTCTCTGGGCCCATATGCAACTTTCCAAGATTCATGTAAACAAGACATGGCTGATGTTACTGATCTGTTTCAATGGAGGAAGTTTCCATATCAGGAGTTCTCCACACAGCAATAAAATCAAAGGTTTAGAGTCTCCCTGTGTGCCCCCCAAAAAGCTAGATATGATCATGAAGGAATTGGGGCAGTAATTAGAAAACATAAGAAAGTTTTAAACCCTCAAATTATTTAAATAAGTATTCCTGATCTTGGTTATGAATACTCCCAAGAGCATTAACTTTATTCTATCATGTCAATGGTTATTAGCCTCCCCTGAGCAAGAGCTATATTGATTTCCATTTTCAGATAGAAATTGCCATCTATCCACAACTAGGTAGTACACTGAATAGAGCACTGGGCCTGGAGTCAGAAAGAACTGAGTTTAAATCCAGTCTCAGATATGTACTAGCTATGTGACCCTGGGCAAGCCAGTTAACCTCTTTCTGCCTCCATTCCTTCAACTGTAAAATGGGGATAATAACAGCACCAACCTCCCAGGGCTGTTGTGAGGATCAGATGAGATAACATTCATCAAGTACTTAGCACATAATCGGCATTTAATAAATGCTTGTTCTCCTCCCTTTCTCTTCCCAACAACTCATAGTAATCCATAAATTGTGAAATAATGTTATGATACCAAAATGTATTCCTTCCTTTCTAGACTTGGTATCAACAAGGACTTTATGGAAATGACCCCAAAATGTGGAAGTTTAATATGCCTAAATTGGCATATGCAATGTTATTCATGTTTGTTCTTTTTCAAGAGATGAAGAGGGTTGTAATAGGAAAAATGTATGTGTATGTGATGGAACTGACTTTCTTATGTGGCTTACAGAAAAAAAAAATCAGTTTCATTGTTCTTTTTAGCCCTCTGTACACTTCTTTGATCTTCTTTATAATAATATATCATGGGTAAAGTTTAAGATGGTCACAGGATATTCATTTGTAGATATTTGGCAAATGGGCTATATATTCTCTTCTTTCTAACTTCCTTGTTTTTGCTAAGAACACCATCATTTTTTCCAGTTACCCAGGTTCACAACCTTGGAGTCATCCTTGATTCTTTCCCCTCCCTCAACCCCTGTGTCTAATCAATTGTCAAATCTTAGCAATCCTCCCTTCATAATATCTCTTGCAACCACTCCTGGTGCTCCACTCTTCTGCCCACCAGCCTAGTTCAGGCTCTCGTCATCTGTCACCAGAACTATTGAGATAACCTCCTAATGAATCTCCCTGACTCCAGTCTTTCTCCTCTGCTGCATCCTCCATAAAGCAGCCAAACTGATATTACTCAGGCATGGGTCTATTCAAAAAGCTCCCTGTTGCCTCTAGGATAAAATATAAATTCCTCTGATCAAATGAAATAACATATATAAAGCACTTTGCAAACTGAAGGCACTATATAAATGCTCACCAGCTATTACATAAAACACTTCACAGTCTGACTCCAGCCTGATGTTCTAGAATTACTGCATATTGCTCTCTCTTGTTTTCCCTCCCTTCTCACCAAATTGGCCTTCTTGCTATTCCCAGTACATGGTATTTCATCTCCTACTTCTGTGCCTTTGCCCTGGTGTCTACACTCATGCCTACAGTGCACCCCCAAATCCTTCCACCTCAGAGACTCCCTAGCCTCCTTCAAGATTCAGCTCAAGTTCCATCTCCTACATAATTAATGCCTATCCTGATCTCCTCATTGCTAGTGTCCTTCCCCTACTCCTCCCTGTCTAAAACTACTTTATTTTTACTTTGAATATACATATTTATTACATATACATATGTATTTATAGATCCATTTTTGTATTATTTTCTGCCAATAGAATGTAAGCTTCCTGAGGACAAGAACCATTTCATTGTTGTTTTAGCTCTTAATAAATGCCTTTTGAATAAATGAATGACTATAAAGGAGAGAAGGAAGGGGAAAGGAAGGAAATCTAGAATTCACTTTGAAAAGAGGTCGCACTTATTCTGCTTGGCCCCAGCGGGTATGGTGGAAGTTTCAGAGAGGCTGTTGTGGGCATGATATGGAGGGAAGCTTCCTAAAAATTAGAACTGGCCAAAAGTGGAATGTGCTACCTTAGTTGGATTGTGGATTGCCAAAAACTAGAGATCTTTGAGCATAGCCTGGATAATTACTTGTTGGGAATTTTTTGAAGAGGATTCCTGTTGAGGTAGAATTTGGATAAGTGGCCTCTGAAATCCTGTCCAACTCTGAGATTTTATAATTTTATAATATATAAATATATATGTGAATTAATATATATTTATATATAAAATATAATTTTATAATCATCAAGGGATGGAAGAAGTCGGGAGAGCAGAATGATGGTCCCTAAAGGGCCAAGTTTAAGGGTTAAAGAGAGGAATAAAATGGTCACATTTAATTTGGGCACTAACAAGCTCATATGCAAGAGTTTAGTACCAATGAGCCTCACAATAAATACAGGCACATAATTAAGTTCAAAAGGCATTTATTGAATTGATATACAAAAAAAAAATTAAGTAAGTAGGTTGGGAGATAGTGGACACACATATCTCCAAATTAAACCATGCCTTCAAGTAGCCCAGTAGTTTAGTTGTTCCATTGTTGCAGTCATGTCTGACTCTTCCTGACCCCATTTGGGGTTTTCTTGGCAAAGTTACTGGAATGGTTTGCTGTTTATTTCTCCAAATCATTTTACAAATGAGGAAACTAAGGCAAACAGGGTTGAGTGACTTGCCCAGAGTCACACAGCTTGTAAGTGTCTGAGGCTGGATTTGAGCTCATGTCTTCCTGACTCCAAGCCTAGTGCTCCATCCATATCATCTGCTCCTCTGGATTTAATTATCATCTCTGTGCTAATGATTCTTAGATCTATTATATACCCAGCCCTCCTGAGCTATAGTAAGGCATCTCTAACTGCCTATTGGACATCTTGACCTGCATATCCTGGAAGTATCTCAAACAAAACATATACAAACCAAAACTTGTTGTCTTAATCCCCAAGCTCTACCTTCTTTTTAAAAAAATATTTTATTTTCCCCAATTACATGTAAAGACAATTTTTAACATTTGAATTTTTTAAATGTTGAGTTCCAAATTTTCTCTCTCCTTCCTTTACCTCATCCCTCCCTAAGACAGTGAGCAATTTGATATAGGTTATATACGTGCAATCATGTGAAATATATTTCCATATTAGTGATATTGTAAAAGAAGAAACAGTTGTAAAAAAATGAAAAAATAAAGTGAAAAATAGTATGCTTTGATCTTCAGTCAGACTTCATTGGTTCTTTCTTTGGATGTAGATAGCATTTTTCAGCATGAGTCCTTTGGGATTGTCTTGGATCATTGTATTGCTGAGAATAGCTAAATCATTCACAGTTCTTCATCTTATAATGTTGTTACTAGGTTACAATATTATAATTACTAGGTACAATGTTCTCCTGGTTTTGCTCACTTCACTTTCTGTCAGTTCATGTAAGTCCTTCCAGGTTTTCCTGAAATCATCCTGCTTGTCATTTCTTATAGCACAATGGTATTCCATTACATTCTTATGCCACAACTTGTTCAGTCATTTCCCAGTTGATGGGCATCCCCTCAATTTCCAATTCTTAGCTACCACAAAAAGAGCTGCTATGAAAATTTTTGTGCAAATAGGTCCTTTCCCCTTTTTAAAAAAAATCTCTTTGGGATACAGATCTAGTAGTGGTATTGCTGGATCAAAGAGAATGCACAGTTGGATTGCCCTTTGGGCACCATTCCAAATTGCTCTCCAGAATGGTTGGATTATTTCACAACTTTGCTAACAGTATGTTAGTGTCCCAGTTTTCCCATATGGAAACATAGATGCCACAGAGTAGACGGCAATGCCTTAACCATATATAAGTTGTAAAGGCCACTAGGACCTCTTCCATCTTTATCAAGGAGAGTGCTAACTTTGTCTTTTCATACAACACCAAACCCTCTCTTCTTCCCAGCTTGCCTGTTATTGTCAAGGGAACCACCATCATCTCAGTTATTCAGGCTTGCAACTTTGGAGTCATATACAAATAACTCCTCACTCTTCCTCACCTTATATATTCAATCCATTGCACATTTTGTCATTTCTACCTTTACAACATCTCTTATATACATTTCCTTTATTCCACTCATAGAGCAACAATCATAGTTCAGGCCCTCATCACCTCTTGCCTGGAATACTAAAATAGCTTCTAACTGATCTGCCTGTCAGGACCATCCATTACACAGTTGCCAAGGTGATTTTCTAAGCCTGGGTCTGACTATATCACCTCCCCTCTCACCTTGCTCAGTGAGCTACAGTGACTTTCTATTATCTCTAGGATTAAATATCAACTCCTCTGTTTGGCATCTAAAGTTCTTCATAGCCTGGCCCTTTCTTGCTATTCCAATTTTCTTTCACTTTACTCCCCTTCCCTCTACAATCCAGCTATACTGATCCACTTGCTGTCCTTCTAACACATCACTCCATCTCCTCTTTGCCTTCAAACTGGCTGCCTTACCCTCCTTCCTCCCCCCCACCCCCGCCCATTCATCTCATTTAAAAACAGAATATTTTTAATGTCAAAACTAAATATAGATAATATTTGTAAGTCACCACAGCATCTGACATACAGTAAATATGTAATAAATGTTTATTGAGTTACTGAATAAAGGAATGCCATTGACCCTGGAGAAATTAGACCACACATTTCATAATTTTAAGCTAGTTAAAATTCATGTTACCTACAAGTGCCCAGGTATTTTGTAAGAGTTGTATTTAGTATTATCATTGCATTTATTTATTAGCAGCTCTCTTTGTAGTGGCAAAGTACTGGAAATTGAAGGGATGCCCATCAATTGGGGAATGACTGAACAAGTTGTGGCATATGATTGTGATGGAATACAATTGTGCTGTAAGAAATAATGAGCTCAATGATTTTAGAAAAACATGGAAAGACTTGCATGAAATACTGAAGAGTGAAATGAGCAGAATCAAGAGAACATTGTATACAGTAACAACAATATTGTATTAAGAAGAACTTTGAGTGAATAAATACTCAAATTAACCGTAAAGGACATATGAAGGAAGACGCTATTTGAATCCAGAGAAAGAACTAATAAATAGAAGTATGTATAGAATATATGTATATATAAATATACATATTTGTGTCTAATAGTAGCCATCTCTAGGGCTGGGGGTGAGGGAAGAAAGAAAAAAAAAGAAATTTACATGATAATTTTGTTGTATATTTGAAAAGAATAGCAAGTTGTACACAGTAGATTTGTGTTTCATGTACAATCATCTTTTTTATTGTACTATGTTATGGAAATGCTGTTTTGTTCCATACATTAAAAATAAAGTTAAGAATTGCACTTATAATTATCTAAATCACTCATAGGGAAATATACATTAAAACAACTCTGAGTTACTACCTCACATCTATAAGATTGGCTAACATGACAGAAAAAGAAAATTATAAATGCTGGAGGGGATGTGAAAAAATAGGGACACTAATGCACTGTTGGTGATGTTGTGAACTACTCCAACCATTCTGGAGAATAATTTAGGACTATACCCAAAAGGTTATAAAACTGTGCATACACTTTGAGCCAGCAATACTAGGAGTCTATATCCCAAGGAGTTCAAAGAAAATAGAAAAGGACCTCTATATACAAAAATATTTATAGAAGCTCTTTTTGTGGTAACAAAGGATTAGAAATTGAGGGGATGCCCATCGATTAGGGAAAGGCTAAACAAGGTGCAGTATATGATTGTGATTGAATACAATTGTGCTATAAGAGCTGACAAGGGGGATGATTTCAGAAAAACCTGGGAAGACTTGTATAAACTTATGCAAAGTAAAGTGAATAGAAGCAAGAGAACATTGTATACAGCAACAGCAATATTATAAGCAGGATTAAATATGAAAGACTTAGCTACTCTGACCAATACAATAATTCAAGGCATTCTAAAGGACTCATCATGGGGAGCAGCTAGGTAACCCAGTGAATAGAGCACTAGCCCTGGAGTAGGAGGACCTGAGTTCCAATCCAGCCTCAGACACTTGACGCTTACCAGCTGTGTGACCCTGGGCAAGTCATTTAACCCATTGCCTAGACAAAAATAAATAAATAAATAAAGGGCTCATATGAAAAATGCTATCCACATCCAGAGAGAGAACTGATGAACTTGCAGTGCAAATTGAAGCATACTTTTTTCAGTTTTCCTTGCTTTTTTTTTTTTTTGCAACATGGCTATTATGGAAACATACTTTGTATGACCTCACATGTATAATGGCTATTATATTGCTTGCCTTCTCAATGGGTGGGGGAAAGGCTATAGGGAGGAAGAGAATTTGGAATTCTAAATTTTGAAAAATGAATGCTAAAATTCAATAAATTAATTATTTGATTTTTTAAAATTGCATTTATAAGGTGAGGAAGGGCTTAGTAATGGCCGCATTATTGCTTATTCCTTTTATGTAGTCTATTCTTTTTCCTAGCTCACTCATAGTATTCTTCGAAGGATTTCTGTGTCTTTAGTTCTAATGTCAGTTAATTGAAAGAGGAAGGGAAAGAAATAAGCATTTATGCAGCCCCTGCTATGTGTCAGGCACAGTGCTGCACTTAACAAATGTTCTTACTTGATTTTCCCAACAGCCCTGTGAGATAGGTACTATTATCTCCATTTCACAGTTGAGAACATTGAGGCATATAGAGATTAAATGACTTGCTCAGGGTCACACAAATAATAAGTGTTTGAGGCTGGATTTGAACTCAGAACTTCCTGACTCCAGGCACAGTGTTTTGTCTACTTTGATACCAGTTATAATTTGAGATCTCACCATTACCATCTTTGCCCTGGAATCTATATTGAATTTAAACAAAAATGGTTATTCCATGGGCCATGCAGATGGACACATGTGAAGTCACAAGCCAGAAGGGAAAAAAGTTTCAGAACAACTGGAGGGCTTGAGGCATATGATTCTCCACTGTAGAACTTGCTATACACTCGGGGTTATCACCACGCTATGAGAACTTTTGATGAGGCATTCTCTTTATAGGTGAATCAAATATATTATTCCTTTTTTTTTCTCTTTTTATGATTTTAAAAAAAATACTTAGGTCACTCGTGTAATAGGCAAGGCCTAACTGAGGCTGATCAAGAACCCCAGGTTCAAAATCAGAAAAAAAAGATACACTTTTAGTTCATCTCATAATTAACAAAAGGAGATTTACTCAGCAGCGTCGAGGGAAGTCTGTGGTACTGATTTAGCTGAGAGCAGCTTCCCTCTACTGGTGTTGGTGAAGCTACTACATCAGAAGCCTCCAGAAGAGCTGGAGCTTCTCAGGCCCTTTTGTCCTCAGATGACCAGGAAATTCCTTCAGCAGCCTGAACCTTCACTTCCCTGTGCCAATTAAGCCTCAAGGACAATTGCAATACCTTTTAAGGAAAAGAACTAGCTTGCCTTGATAGATAGCATAACTAGTCTAGAGATCTAGGTTATTGTGGTGTGAATCCAAACCCCGTTTTCACAATACAGATATCTAGCTTTCTCAGTACCATTGGAGATCGGGACCTTGGAAATCATCTGGTAAAATCCCCTCTTTTTACAGATGAAGAAACTGAGGTCCCAGGAAGTTAAGTGATTTGTCCAAGGTCATATAGATAGCAATATAAGAGACGGTATTTGAACCCAAGTCCTCTGACTCCAGAGACAGGCTTGTGATTGCATTCTCTATTGTTTTTAAACATAGATTTATTAAGTGTTAGCCTTTTATATTGGGATTTTCTGTTCTGTCCCATTTATCTGTTTCTTTCTTTTTCCAATACCAATTTTTATAATTATTGTTTCAAAGCCTGACTCTGACCTTGGACCCTACCACTTTGAGCCTGCGCTTCCCTAGCAATCATTCAACCAGTAAACATTTATGAAGTGCCTACTGTGTTTCAGGGACCAGAAAATAGGGACAACAGGGCTTGTACTGCCTACCTCAAAGATTTGTTGTAAAGGAAACGCTTTGTGAATTTCAAAGCTCTCTATGAATGTGAGTTATCACGGACAGTGATTCTTCTACCTTCCTTCGCCTTTCATCAGGTTGTTTTTCTTGCTTACCTTGGCGTTCTTGGCAGAGACCATGTGATGCTATCTTTGTTCTGAGCAAGATCAAGGATGCCGTAAGCGCTCACTAAATATTTATTATTAAGAATATCCACAGCTAACAAAGTGTTCTAAAGCATGGACCATGTCACATTGCTTGAGATCCCCATTTTTCCAGACAGAAAATTTGTGGAGAAGAAAGTTTGGGGCTACATTTGGGCCCCATGACTGAGCATAAACTAAAGCAGATCCCAGCTTAGCCCCACCTTTCATCTTGGGTGGAAGCCTAAGTAAAATGGATATAGTGTCCACAGAAACCGACTGGACTACTTACACATCAAATCACAGACGTAGAGCTGCGAGGGGATTCTCAGGGTCCCTTTAGCACTGACAAAAATGCTAAGTCATCAAGGTCAGATCCCTTATTTTACAGATGAAGAATCTGAAGCTTAGAGAGGTATGTAACTTGGCCCCCAGTTGGTGTCTCAAATAGGCTCTCTGACCACATGTAGAGCTGCCTTGTCCAGGCTTCTCACTACTAGCCTTTCTGTCATTGCTTAGCAGTTGCCAGCTGTCTTGTTATAATTCCTGTGTGAACACCTCTTATGTTTCAGAAGAAATCCACGAGGCAGATAAGGGAAGAGAAAAGCAAGGTAACTAGCCGGAGCGTTGGGCTGGACACAGCCACTTCTTGCCCTGCAGAAAGCAGACACCCATCTGAACAATGTCATCTCTCTCCTTCTCAAGACCCTTGGACCAGAGAAGGGATGCCGGCACCCTATGGTAGCTTCTCAGGGGTCAGCAGCAGTGACAGTGTTCTGAGGGAATTGGATGACGGACAATATGATCAGGAGGACGGGGTAACACAGGTCACTTGTATGTGAGCCAGAAGATATCTGAATTCAAAGGACCTGTAAATAATCATGGACATTTAATTCAATGCTGAAATGAGTACATTACTTCATACACTTCAATGCAATGCTCTGTGTTTCTCCAGACTCACATATTTTTCTCATCTATGCTGGCTTTGGCTACTGCCTCTAAATGCGGAAGAACTATTATTAGTAAATTCATTCATTAGAGTTGTTTTTATATTCCTCCTGTCAAGAACATCTGTTCAAAGTGAGATGTCATTAGTTTATTAAGAAATAATGTCGGGGCAGCTAAGTGGTGCAGTGGATACAGCCCTGAAGTCAGGAGGACCTGAGTTCAAATCCAGCCTCAGACCAAACACTTGACTCTTACTAGGCAAGTCACTTAACCCCAATTGCCTAAAAAAACAAAAGAAAGAAAGAAAGAATGTCCTTCCATTTTACATCTTTGTGTGAATTACATCCTTTGATATTTCCTAGTTCAGCTCACCTCAGTCAACTACTGTTCCAGAATAACAGTCCTTTGGAAAACTACTCATCACTGCCCCCCACAAAAGACCCTACAAATAGTTCTTAAATTAAAGTATTTCCTAGTAGTTATTTTCTTATGTGTAGAAATTCAAGTTTATCTTTAGTTGTAACATATGTGTACTTTATTAGCAACCCCTATTCATTCAAATATTTCTGTAAAAAAAAGTTTCTTTGTGTACATCTTTGCTTCTAAAAGAATGCCATATTATTAAATGATTTCATTTATCTGAGGTACTACTTCTCCAGACATCCAGAAAATAACCACAGCAGAGTGATATTCACTTAAGCTCAATGCAAAAACAACCCACAATCTCAAAATAAAGAGGGGGGAGGTGGGGAATTTAGAGATGACTATAATTTTTCTTTATTAAAAATTGGAGGGGCAACTAGGTGGTGCAGTGGATAGAGCACCGGCCCTGGATTCAGGAGTTCAAATCCAGCCTCAGACACATAACACTTACTAGCTGTGTGACCCTCGGCAAGTCACTTAACCCATTGCCTAGCCAAAAAACAAAACAAAAAAAAATTGGAGAATAAAAAGCCAAGCAACAAATGACAAGTGAAGCCTTTGGCTTTAGAATTTAATTACCTTCTCCTTTTCAAGAAATCTTTGAAACTTAAAATTTTTCAGGCCTGGAAGTTCAACTAAGTGGACCAGTACCTAGGACACTTCAGATGGAATACTTTGACTTGCTGATTCCAGCCACTGACTTTTCTTGCCCTGAGTAATATTTGTCATTGTTCAGACTCAACCCTGGATTGGTGAAGATTAAACTCATGAAAAATAATTTTCATCCATTTATGGCAGGAGAGTGAGACTTGGAAGTCATAGAATTTAAGGTATTACAGAACCTTCAAGAGAATTCCAACTAGCCTTAGCTTTGTGGATTTCTAAGCCTGTTGTCCAGCTCATTGACAATACTGAGTTCTAAAGTAATAAAGCATCATTTAGTTGACATCAGATTTTTGTTTTATTGGCAAAGTATAGACATTGTATGGATATATGCATATAAATTTATATATGCATATATTATATATAATTATATGTGAAATAATTGTGTGCCACATGATATTAAAGAAAGGCCTACAATAAAATCTGTCATTATCCATGATGAGCTTAACATGAAATTATTCCCATGTCAGTATCCCACATTTTCAAGAAGAATGTCTTCCTGTATCATAACCTTCCCAATGAACCACTCTTCAAGAAGATTAGTATAAGTACTCAGTCTTGCTGCTTTTGTGTGCATAGCTAAAGATAATATTAACAAAAACATTTTCAGTTTTCTAGATGATAATAATAGCTGGCATTTACATAGCAATTACAATTATATAGCAAATTTACAACTTACAATTACAAGTGCAATTACATAGCACTTTACAAATATTATTTCATTTTACCCTTACAAGAACCTGAGAGGTATGTGCTATTATATTATCTTTATTTTACCCCAGATTGGGAAACTAAGGCAGTCACTGCTTAAATGACTTATCCAAGGTAACATAACTAGCAAGTGCCTGAAGGTGGAACTCAGGTTTTCCAGACTCAAGATCCAGTGCTTTATCCACTGAGCTACTAACATCTGAATTAAATGTACAGGAGCTGATGGACTTTCATGAGAACCATTCACTTTTAGGATCTTTGAGATGTCATAAAGTTTTGACATGATTAAAAAAAATCAGTTACCAAGTTTTGACAGTTTCACCTTTATAACATCTTTTGACACCAGCCCTGGAGTCAGGAGGATCTGACTTCAAATCTGATCTCAGATACATAACACTTACTAGCTGTGTGACCCTGGGCAAGTCACTTAACCCCATTGCCTAGCCAAAACAAACAAACTAAAAAAAGAAATCTTTTCAATCCATCCCCTTCATTTTATTCCCAGGGAAAGCCCCCTAGCTCAGGCCCTCATCACCTCTCACCTGGTCTATCACAATAATATCCTTGATAGTCTCTCTACCTCAAATTTTTCCCCTCTTCAATTATTTTCCATGTAACTGCCAAGCTGATACTCCTACAGCACAGGTCTGACCATGTCACTCCTCTGCTCAAAAAGTTCCATTGGCTCCCTGTGGTCTCTGTTGTTCAGTCATTTCAGTTGTGTCCTACTCTTTGTGATCCCATTTGGGGTTTTTTGGCAGATACTGGAGTGGTTTACCATTTCCTGCTCTAGCTCATTTTATACATGAGGCAAACAGGATTGAGTGACTTGCCCAGGGTCACACAGCTAGTAAGTGTCTGAGGCTGGATAATTACTATGGTAATACAGAAGCTCTTGGTTCAAATTCAGAAGATAGTGAAGTTAAAAAAACTACTTCTATATCAAAGAAAAAAGCTAAATGGTCACAAACCCAAAAAGAGTTCTTGGAAGAGCTTAAAAAAGGATTTTAAAAATCAAATAAGAGAGGTTGAGGGAAAATTAGGGGAAAAAATGAGAATAATGCAAGAAAATGAAGAAAACTGTGAAAGTCAATCAAATGGAAAAAGAGATCCAAAAACTTACAGAAGAAAATAACTTCTTAAAAATTAGAATTTGGAAAGGAGAAGCTAATGACTTCATAAGACACCAAGAAATAAACAAAATCAAAAGAATGAAAAATATAAGAGAATGTAAAACATCTCATTTGAAAAACAGCTGACCTGGAGAACAGAAAAAGGAGGGAAAATACAGGAATTGTTGGGCTATCTAAAAGTTACAATAAAAAAAAATTAGATACCATATTTCAAGAGATTGCTCGGGAAAATTGCCCTGAAGTTTTAGAACAAGAGAGTAAAATAGAAATACAAAAAAAAATTACCAATCACCACCTGAGAGAGATCTCAAAATGAAAATTCACAGGAATATCATAATAGTTTTGAAGCTCTCAGGTCAAGGATATATACTACAAGCAACCAGAAAAAAAAATTTAATACTGTGGAGCTACAGTCGGGATAACACACCATTGGAAATCCTAAAAATTAAAGGTGAAATTAATAAAATTGAGTGTAAGAAAACAATTTAATTAATACATAAAACTAAAAAGAAAGGAAACTGACAAATGCTGAAAAGGATATGGAAAAACTGGGACACTAATGCATTATTGCTGTGAACTAGTACAACCATTCTGGAAAACAATTTGGAACTATGCCTAAAGGACTGTAAAACTGGGCATACCTTGTGATTTAGCAATACTACAGTAGTAGTAGCAGTAGGCTCTGTATCCCAAAGAGATTTAAAAAAAAAAAGGACCTATATGCACAAAAATATTTATAGCAGCTTTTTTGTGGTGGCAAAGAACTGGAAACTGAGGGAATGTCCATCAATTTGGGAAAGACCGAACAAGTTGTGTTGTATGATTGTGATAGAACACTATTGTGCTACAAGAAATGATGAACAGGATGGTTTTAGGAAAACCTAGGAAGATTTATATGAGCTGATGCAAGGTGAAGTGAGCAGAACCAGAAGAAAATTGTACACAGTAACAGCATATCCTAACAATGATCAAATCTGAAAGACTTAACTACTTGGATCACAACAATGATTCAAGACAATTCCAAATGACTCATGAGGGAAAATGCTGTCCACCTCCAGATGGAGAACTGATGAACTCTGGATGTAGATTGAAGCATACTTTTAAAAAAAAACTTTTATTTTGATCACCACCCCTGCAGTCAGGAGGACTAGAGTTCAAATCTGGCCTCAGACACATAACACTTACTAGCTGTGTGACCCTGGGCAAGTCACTTAACCCCATTGCCTAGCCAAAAAAAACCAAACAAACTTTAGTTTTCTTGTGTGTGTCTGTGTGTGTTTTGCAATATGGCTAATATGAAAATATGATTTACATGTCTTCACATGTATAATGGGCATCATATTGTTTACCTTCTCAAGAGGAGGGTAAGAGGAAGGAAGGAGGGAGAAAATTTGAAACTTAAAATTTTTTAAATAAATGTTTAAAATTTTTACAAGTAATTGGGAAATATTTAACAAAATAAATACTAATATATTTAAAAGCAAACAAAATAAGATAGTGAGGGAGGCCTAGAACAGCAGTCAGAGGTTTTGTGAATGTTCACTACTACTCTGGTGTTTCTTTCCACAGAACATTACATAGAATGTTCTCATTAAATTGTCAGCAAAGGGGAAGAAAACATTGCCTCCCTTTTAAAAGTTGTTCCTTTATTCTCCTGTCATTCACTGGTTGAGCTTTGTGTCAGTCATCATCAGGCCAGGCCAGCATGGAACATTCCTCCCCTACTTCTTTGCAGATGTAGAGGACAGTAAGTATGGAAAACTGCATCTCATGTCTTGATGCTCAGCCAACCTGTGACATGGTTAGAAAGAGGAAGTAGAAATTATTTCCCTCCTCCATACCTACACCTACAAGCACACAGTACATTTGTTCTCCTTAATTTCTTGAGCCTCAGTACAGAAGTCTTGCAAACATCTGTATTACAGACAAATGGATTCAAAAGGAAATCCATGTCTGTAGAGGTAGACAGATTTCTGTACCCTTCCTAATACTCTGAGTGTTATTTCTACACACAGAAGTCTCAGTGACTGCAAAAAGGAGATCTGCTGGTTGAAGAGCCAGCACAGGAAGCTAGCCCACCAAGAAGAAGCTCCTAATAGGAATGAGAGAAGCAAGGTTGCTTTATTTTACATTTGTTCATCATAGAATTGTTCAGGTACACAAGAATGGGGAATCTAAAGATTGACCTTAAAGAACAAAACAGATGGAAGTAACTGTATAAGTTTCAATCTTGCCCTTTGTGGGTATTTCCCCTGGAGTTACCAGAAACTGCATATCACTCTGGAATATTGCTCTCAGCCTGAAATTGGCTGA